CTCATTGCTGCATCACCAGATTTTCCTAAGAGCGCTCACATAATGGAGGACAAGCTGCTGGGATCGCTGCTTGTGCCAGCCCAGCATCTCTGTTACAGAGCACTGCCTAGACTTTGCCACCACGTGCAACTTCCCAGCGAGGCAGGAGCTCTTGGAGCTCTTGCTTCCCGTAGAAGATACGGGCATGAAACAGGGCAGGGAGAGCCATGCAAAGCTGTCAGGGTTCAGCAAGGCATTAACAGGCTTTTCAGTGCCTAGAGCCACCGGGCAGCTTTGCAAAACCCAACATGAGTGACTTCAACAAGGCTACACGCCCAATCAAAGCTGTTGCCCAGTGTCCATCTCTCGGGTTAACCACCAGGTCTCCCTGCTTGCAGCATGAACTCTAGAGCAGAGGGCAGCACTTCAAGCTTGGGAACCACTTTCCTACCTGCAGGAAGCTATCAAGGACCCACTCAAGAACAAATTCAGCTTTAGTTGCTTCGCTGATTTAGTCACAGCCAGCTGAAGCCTTTGCTCTGCCAGCGCAACAGTATGTTAATTAACCTGCAATCTAATCAATTGGGCCAAAACTCATTTCTGAGTCTCTCTCAGGTCACCCTCTCCTTAATCAGCTCTTGTGCTGGAGAAAAACAGCCTTTCCTATATGTCAGCTGCGGCACAGCTCTAACTGCACACGCCAACCCCAGAAGCAGCTTCCCCCAGCCTGCAGCTCAGTGTGCAATTTTTACACCGGTAAATACATGCGCTCGCATAGACGCGTATACGGTAATTAAATATCACAATTACGTCTGCTGTCGGCGGGATGAAACCCCTGCAACGTTGCTGGGGTTGTGGGTGGGGAGGAAATTCCAGCCAAGATCTTGGCTGGCGACCGCATTAGCAGCACCATGTGAACACAGCAAGGGGAGCACGCAGTAGTTCCCAGCTGGGACCAGGGACAGCTCCCAGCCTCTGCGACTGCCGGGAACAAGCCCCAGCCCAGCTCCCAGGCACCTTTCCTGAAATCCCGAACGCTGGAAGAGCAGACACTCTTTGAACACCCAATACAGTTTCATTTTAAAGGCCACTACCCCACACTTGTGGAAAGAGGTAGAAAGCATCACCTCTGCGTCATTTTGCTAGATCTCAATCCCAAGGCAGAGCAGGTTCCCAGAGTGCAAGCACCTTCACTCAAAAACAAGAAAGTTGGTAGCGTCACTGCTGGACACCAAAGAAGGGAGACAAGGACAGGAAAACCTCAAAAACACGCAGCCGCTTTGCTTTGGTTGAAATCTGCTGCCGAGCCAGAGCTCTGGCTTCAAGCAGATCTGGGCTCTGAAGCTACCTACAAACGGCAGGGGACATCTGGCTCCCATCCTGCCCGAGAAGTGACACTCTCCATTCGCTCTGTCTTTCCCAAGCGCTCCAAAGCGGCACGTGAAGGCACCTGCCCTGCTACGAAAGCACGAGGATGCAGATCAAGCGCTCACGCCACACGACAGCAGCACGCAGGCGGCATTTCACCGGCCTGCGGAGCTGCTGCTCCCCGCTCCCCCGCGCCGGTGCGTTTCCCA